AGCTGGCCTGCCTGCCTGCCTTTTCCCCATCCAGTAAACATTTCTGCAACCTCCCTGGCTACCCATGCTTCCTGAAGTGAAAAGGCTCATGGGAGGAGTCACTTTCTGACGTCTTCCTCTGGGCTTTCATTGAAGCAAGGCCACCCAGGAAGGCTGCACAGAACAGAGAACCCCTGAGATAATTTGTGGCATGAAAGAAAGGGCACTCGCAAACATCCCCTGCCACCACAAAGTGTGACAAAAACCTGATTTCCCCCCTCACCCACCTGTGATACTTTCCCCGCCCCTTTAATAATATTTGAATGCAATTTATTTTCCCATTATTTGATGGAGAACAGAAAAATTTTCACTGCAGCACTGATTTTTCTAATTTTAAGAGGGGAAAATTAGGAAGCCATTTGTTCCTTGCCAGGTGCTAGGTGGTGTTTTAGTTCTATTTCCTGTGTAGGTGGAATGAAAGCACGAAACAATGCAAGAATACCAACTGTAAAGTGTTTCATTATGTAGATATAAAGACAGCTATTGTAATTAATTGATTGCTCCTGTTCCTGCTAAGGTTCCAGGGAGACTTCCTCAATGTGCCTTTTGTTAAAACTGGTTCTAATGTCTGCTCGACTTCTTAATGTCTTTAGGCTCTGTTTCAAAGAGTGATTTGATGTTAGAGGAGTTTGGCAGTAATTGCCCTTGTAATGATATCCTCAGCAAGGAAAAGCTTGTAGTCATTGTGATAAGGGGGGTTATCAATTGTAAGGTCAGGCCGATTCCAGTATGTGAGAGTGGGGAGGGGAGTAGAGGTCTAGTTTTAACACTTGGGGCACTTCCTTGTTGCTCATATTGTCTCATATTAAATGGCGACTTTTCTTAGGTTGGTGCCAGTGCCCAGTGCATGCCAGCTTCTCACTGAAGATGCACCTCATTCTTACCCTTGAGAATACAGAGCATGTAAGAGAAGGAGGACCTTCCTCTCTATTTCTTCTCCAAGAGTCACAGTCCTCTGGACATCACCTCTGGGAGCAGGCAGTTGTTCAACATTTCTTTCTTGTTTATTTATTTATTAAAAATTGAGCTTCTTATGCTATGATACAGCTATAGTTTCAATTATTTTGTGCTACCTCTTTGTAATTACTGGGCTGATTGCTGTGATTACAGTGGTACCTCAAGTTACAACTGCCTCAGGTTACAAACGCTTCAGGTTACAAATCCTGCTAACCTGGAAGAGTTACCTCGAGTTGAGAACTTTGCCCAGGATGAGAATGGAAATTGTGTGCCGGCGGCGTAGTGGCAGCAAGAGGCCCCTTAGCAAAAGCATGCCTCTAGTTAAGAACAGTTTCAGGTTAAGAACAGACCTCCAGAACAAATTAAGTTCTACTGATATTGCTGGTATTTTGGTATTTTTTCTGGTTGTGCTTTATGGTTAAGACTAGTTATTGATTATATTCTGAATATACCGGTAATATCGGGAGTTGCCTATACACATTTTAAATAAATAAATTCTGCTGCATCTCTGTTTTGTGATTGGCAGTAAAGTACACAAGCACTATAGTTACCAGATGTACTATATATTTTAGATTAGTTACAAAATGTGCATGCATGTTTATATGAACTGGCTTCTAGTGGTGTTTCAAACTCGCTGTCCACTATGGTAAATTTCTTTTGCTTTGAGAATATGTCTTCTAGTTCTTAAGTATTTGTTTTCACTCTGTGAAATTCAATTTGCTTACTGTGTTTATGATCCTTATATACAGTTAAATATAAGTACATAATAACCATGCCTATCAGGCTTGAAAAGGTCAAATGAAGCATCCGGGAAATATATATCTGAATTCTACATATCCAGAGAGCATCATTAGGTTCCTTTCTAGCTTCATTCATTTTCCTATATGTTGAGTTTTAATACAAAAATTATTTCGGTATATATTTGTTCAGCCTGCATATACATGTTCCACTTTTGGCAAAGCACATTTTTCATGAAAAAATTCAGGCACACCAAGCAATAGAAGTCACTTTTCTTTGTAAAAAATAAAAATAGTAACGATAGAGTAATGGTTAGCTAGCAACATCTTCAATTGCTAGGTTTATTTGCGACGTTTACTGGGAAAGCATCAGCATGCCATCTCATCAACATACACCTTAAATAGTGAGATAAGGAAATAAGTCAATTATGTAGTATTTACCTGTGACTATTCCTCTAGCAGAGGATATAGTGCTAAAGTGCATTACTTATTGCCACGAGCCTGGCAAAACCAAATAACCAAAAAACCCAGGAAGCAGTTTGCCTGTGAGAGGTTACAGTGCTGATATTTTTTAGCAAAGCCACCCCAGTCTCCTGCTTCACTGCAGCTGAGCCATTGGGCTTGTTGGTGTGGGTGGCTTCTCAACTCAGTCTTGGCCTTTCCGAGTGCCCTTAGGCATGCACATCTCATGTTCTTGGTCGCCTTGCACATTAAGATGGTGGTCAGATTTCTTCCTGCACCACCATTTCACTTCATTTCCTCATTGTGCAATGGGAAAGAGGATCCCCTTTCTTCACACACAGAAAGGAAGGCAAGCTGAGAAAGGAGAGTCTCTCTCTCCCAGTGGTGGGGGGGGGTTATATGTGTTCTGGCCCTGCCCTCTTTGGACCTTGACCCTGTTCACTGCCAATTTGTGGTCTCTAACTACTTTCCCCTAGGGAAAAACATTCCACCACCCCTCATGTAAGCCTTTGCGAAGTTAATAAGTACGACTTAAGGTTAATGAATATTGCCTTCACTGGAAAAGCACATGTATGTGGTGAGGAGTTCAATTTAATTTTGGAAATTCCAGTTCTGCATGCTTGTACAGGAGTTGCTAACTACTACAGTATGTTTTTGGCTGCTTACCCAGCCCCTGTTCCTTTCCGTCTCACAGGGCTTGCTCTGCATAACGTTTGGGTGAACTGTGGCCTCATTAGGCGGAAGATTCTTCACTCTTTGGGATTTCTATCATGTTAATGCCTGTGCTCGGCCCAGGTGCCATCTAAAGCAATCTAGTGTTTTATAGCACTCCCCAGTATATACTGCTCATAATCATTTGACCCTCTGTGATTTATTTGCCTGCCTTTTTATTTTTATGGCTTTGGGTTTAATGTCAGAAACTGTTAATCCTTCAGTGTTCCAGAGCTCTGATGTTTCACAGCCAGCAGCATTGATTTGCAATTGGCAAGAGAGAATGTGCTTGCCTCGGCCAGTTAAAGCCTATTTGAAAACAATGCTGTGTAGTCTGTGTCCAAAGAGGTTTTTTTGTGTGTGGGTCTGCTTCCAAACCTCTTCACTGTCAGCTGCTACAAAATCTATTGTAAATAGTAAAAGCCCCAAAAGGAGCAGTTTGCACAAGACATCCTATATAAATTTCGAAAATGTTCCATTGTGGCTTCACCTCCTACATTTCCTAGGTTAAAATCAAATGGTTTTATGGCCCTTGGTATTTTGAGCCATGACACAGCTAAAATTTCCCCATTCTAATGCTCATATAGGCATCTTTGTTTTTTATTAGATTCAATCTTTCGTGATTTTATTACTTTGTTACTTTTAATTTATAACAGCCTTATGAAACAGGGATAGTTTGGCTTCCATATTACAAAATATGCATTGAGAAATGCAATAATAAAATAATATACAGCTATCTTCTCATTTAGGCCACAGCCTGAGTCAGAAAAATCTGACTGATGTCTCTCATGGTAAATACTACATTGCGCGCGCGCGCGCGCACACACACACACACACAGAGAGCGCACCTTCTGAGGTCCACCATTGTGAAATAGCTACCAATTTCTAGGAGCAACTTTATTAGGAGACCAGTAAAACAGCACATTAAAATATTGTCCCTGATGGCAGTTTCACTACAGGACCAATTTGCTAATGAGCAGAAGGGACTTTTTCATAAAGACCAATTTAAATTTCTTACTGCCCATATGGTATCTGTGCACTCTGGGAAACTATCGGAACCATTCCAGATACAGCCTTGTTACTAATAGGTTTTGCTCTAAGCATAAAACAAACACCAAGCCTGGCAGCCCAAAGCCATGGCCAAACCAATCTATTTTTATTCAGCATGGTGCCATTTCCTTTCCTGTGTCACTGGAAAAATTAATGGACCTAACTTAGTCGTGGCCATTCATCCAGAAACAGAGTGCTCTCAAAATAACCATGTGAGCATGCCGTATTTTATCAGAAATAGTCAATGGAATCCTTTATACAAAACTGGAAGAAGGGAAGTTGGGGATCCTCCATGGTTTCCTCAGAGAGACGGTTAAGTTAATGCATAAGGGCTCTTGACGAAAAAGTGGGAAATATGAAAAGGATGATGGCCGTCTTGGCAGGACCTTTGCTTCAGTGCTGACACATTTCACTGAAGGCATGCCTGTTTTCGAGATCAGCTGCCTGAGCTCAAGAGTATAGTCAAAGAACTACTGCAATAGAAAGATATCATATACAAACCCATATGCTTTTATATGGGCATCTTGCAGCTCCTTTGTTTTGTATATATCAATGTTATCTGTCCCTGTTTTATGTCTGTAAAGAAAAAAATAATTTAGAAACCCAATAGAAATGATGATGTGGGGGAGAGAAATATAAAATATCTACAAAATCTAAGTCCTAATTGCAAAACTTAGCAGTTTGTGAAGGGAAACACAGATTACTGATGGGCAAATCCATCTATTTCTGGTCTATGCCACTTTATCCATAATTATGTTCCTTTCTAAAAAAATCTCAAAATAGCATTTAATGCATATTTCATGTGTATTTTGTCTCAATTTACATATTTACATGTTTGTTTTGGTATGTTTAAACTGCTGAGAACTGTGCCACAATATTCAGAGACGGGTAGAATCAGGGGAGGCAGCTACTATAAGTTCTGATCCACACATTAGTCCAAGAGCTGGGAATGTTTCTAAGGTGCATGTTGTGCAAATGTTTTACAAAAGCAGGACCTTAAAAACTGTTCTCAATTTAAAAAAACAAAAACTTTTTGCTTCTTAGGGAATGATGTACCTGGAAGAGAGGCGATTGGTTCACAGAGACTTGGCAGCCAGGAATGTCTTAGTGAAATCACCAAACCATGTGAAGATCACAGACTTTGGCTTGGCCAGGCTACTGGAAGGGGATGAGAAAGAGTACAGTGCTGATGGAGGAAAGGTGGGTGTTGGATTAAATCCAGGATTTGAAAGGGCCTTGATCCTAAGCCTGTTTTTTGATAAACCTTTGGGGAAGGTGAGTTTCATGGCCCCCATCTTGATACCAGGGCTGCCCATCCATGAGACAAGGTGAGACAACTGCCTCAGGTGGCAAGATCCACAGAGGCAGCAGATCCAGTCTCTAAGCAATGCATTGCCAGCTTCCACAGTGGCAGCGACAGTTGCATTGCGCTCCTTGGAGGTTGGATCTGCCCCCTCCTTGGCAGTGCCCCCCATGCCACCTGTTGGCGAATAGGTGCTACTGGTCTCCTCCCACCCCTAGGGAGGAAATGATGAGAGCTGCTCTGTGGGGTTTCCTGGGCTCTGTACCCACCTCATGTGATTCAGAGCAGGGGCCACCCCAGTGATGGGCTTAATTCCCACGTCAACCGTTGGGTAAAGTTGATTTGACTCCTCCACCTGTTCCCGATATAGATCTTCACTCACCACTTCTACACTAGTGAGGGGGTACCATTTTGTGACTTGCCTTGGGTGCTAAAATGTCTTGGTCTGGTCCTGATTGCTACCATTATAAACCTGAGGAACCACAACTGTTTCATAGTATTCTGTTGCAGGGATGCCATAGTAATCCAATATTACAAAGACAATTATCCCATACCTTGATTGCGTCCAATTCATTTCAATTTACTTTTCATTGGGAAAACCAATTATTGGTGGCAGGGCATGCAAATGAGGGTGACTAGACATGCAAATTCTTCTGCAAGCTGAGTTGGAGTGAAGAAAAGAGTAGCTAAGAAGCTACAGAAACTCTTAAACAAGCTTGTCGCTGGTTGTGGAAACACTTTGCGCAGACTGATTGGATGTTTGAGTTACTATGGAACCAGCAGTTCGGTACATATCCCATTGAAAGTATGGAATAGCTAAATGGTATCCATTTTGCAATGCCTGTTCCTGCCAATGCACATCTGATTTATGGCCATGGTTCCTGAAAGCAAAGATTTCCTTCATGGAGGCAGGAACAGAAAGATAGAACACTTCATAGAAGTAAAGGGATGGGCTTTGCACAACTCCTATTCCAATGAATTCCCATCATCTACTGTGGGATTTAAAAATGTTTCTCCTCCATTGTTAATTTTCTGGAAGAAAAATGCAGATAGTTTTAGACAGTCCACTCGGGGATTTTTATATATGTTTCCCCTACAAATCTGCACTTCAGCTCACAATAAACAGCCAGATTTCCTTATGGCAGCACTTGAGACCCAAGGCACTGTTAAAGAGAGAAAGAACATTCAGACAATGAATAGAGCTATAATTAGATTGTAACTGATAATGTAAACCGTTAGTATATGTTTATTTTCTGAGCCTCACCATTGAGCAAGGCCAAATGATGCTCCTGAAATCACTTGCGGCAGAGGAAGAGGAGTGTTTGGGGAGCGCACCGCCCCCGGCAGCGCAATCCCGGTGGGGTGCCATCACGGCTGCCCCCTGCTCGTGCGGGGTGCCACACCTCCGCAGGTGGCGCACCATACCCCCAGGATGCACACCCTGCTCCGCCTGCTCTCCGTCCCCTGGTGCTGGAGCATGAAGCTCCGCCACTGCCTGAAACCAGCAGTGGTTGGCAGAGCAGAGCAACACTGAGCGCCACCGCCAATTGCTGAGCGAGGAGGGACAAGGCAGGGGGAGGTCAGTACGGTGCAGGCACAGTAGCAGGAAAGCGCCTGGACCAGGATGAGCTCCCTCCTCTTCTCCCCTCCCTGACTCGGTAAGCACCAGTGATGCTCAGCACTGGGAAGCCAGATGGGAACCCACCGACCACGGCTGCCTGTAATGTGAACTGAAAACCCAGGTTTGGGGCAAATGTCCTTTTCTACACTAATTGCTTTTGCTTTCTTTCTTTTGTCACCCTAGATGCCAATTAAGTGGATGGCTCTTGAGTGTATACATTACAGGAAGTTCACACATCAGACTGACGTATGGAGCTATGGTAAAACAAAAGCCTATTTGTTTAATTCATTACTTTGTATCTATGCATGGAGCTCTTCTAACCTGTTTCTGACATTTATCTTACTTTGTTTAGTACAAAGGAGGAGGAAATTCAGTGGCTGGACTCATGAGCTCCGTGTAGAAGCCTCAGGGCCTGACTACATGTTCCCTTAAGGAAGCAAGCAGCAATTAGGTTGTGGCTTTTTGAAAATTAAATACCAGGCATGAAGGAACATTGCTATCAGCACCACTTGGTAACATATCCCACCTCTACCATGCACAGCCGTGAGCTTTTTGGGGGGCGGATATCAAATTGCCACCAATGGGAACTTTCCATGGCAAAAAGCTAATTGCCATATGGAAGGAGAAATGTTTATTTAGACTGCAGCTGAGGAGGGAAGGCTTTAACCTCCCCTCCCCACAGGTGTGGTGCTGGTAGCAAGCTCCCTCTCTGCACACCTGGCATTAATTTTTAAAAACTTCATTAACCTAATATTCAGCTAGGGCATCAGCTTGGAGGTCTGGTCTTTCCTGTCTTCCAGCAGGTGAGAATGACTTCTGTTTGAGACGCCAAAGAGCCACTGCTGCAAGTTAGGATTCTTGCTCCTACCTAGCTAGATACCGCCCCGATCTGGCCACAGTGATCCATGCGATGGTCACCTCCAGGCTTGACTACTGTAATTCGCTCTACGCAGGGCTGCCCTTGAAGCTGTCCCAGAAACTCCAGCGGGTGCAGAATGCTGCAGCGAGGCTCCTCACGGGGTCTCTGCCATGGGAGCATATTCACCCAGTGCTTTTCAAGCTGCACTGGCTCCCGGTGGAGTACAGGGTCAGATTTAAGGTGCTGCTTTTGACCTTTAAAACCCATCACGGCCTAGGACCCTCGTACCTACGGGACCGCCTCTCCTGGTATGCCCCACGGAGAGCCTCAAGGTCCATAAATAGCAACACCCTAGTGGTCCCGGGCCCTAAGGAAGTGAGATTGGCTTCAGCCAGAGCCAGGGCCTTTTCAACTCTGGCTCCAGCCTGGTGGAACGCTCTGCCTCATGAGACCAGGGCCCTGCAGGATCTGATTTCTTTCCGCAGGGCCTGTAAGGCAGAGTTGTTCCGCCTGGCCTTTGGCTTGGAGCCAATTTGATTCCCTCCCTCCCTCTCTTTCTTTTTTCTTTTCCTTCTCCTCCTGCAATGAGGCTACATTTTAATATTTTAATGTTTCAATATTTTAATGTTGTATTTTTAATTTTGTTTTTAAGTTGTAATCATTTAACTTGTTTTTATTATTGCTTGTAAGCCGCTCTGAGCCCGGCCTTGGCTGGGGAGGGCAGGGTATAAATAAAAATTATTATTATTATTATTATTATTATTATTATTATTATATGCTATAAAGCGAGTCCTTGCCCTGAGCTTTGTTCCACACTTCCTCATCTGTTGGTTCTCTTCAAAAAGAAAAATCTGAATAGAGTTGTTAAGTTGTTTCTGTGAAATATTCCAGACTGTAATGCTACCTTCACTGGTGCAAGCAGCAGGTTAGTAGCAGTGTGGCGCATCATAAAAACAGTTCTTTTCTGCTTAGCTTAAGTTATATAGAAAAAATGCTGGGGGCCATAGTTTTCAACACTCCTTAGAAAAGCTAAGTTGAAAAGCTGTGAATGTTTCTGGGTGTTGTTTTTTGTTTTGTTTTTTTAAATGGCTGATGGGAATTTTTGTACCATAAAAGGAAATTTATTATAACACAGAACAAATAAAGTGAGAGGGATTAAACTGATAGGTAAGCAGACTGATCATTATGGGATCCAATTGTACTTCCCAAATAACCTTACCATTTGTAAGAAAGGTCGAGCGCATGAGGAATCTCTGAAATCCATAAACAGGGAATTAGTTTAATTTAGTTAATTGGAATATCAAGCTCAATTCATTGGCACCTGTCTGGCTGTTTGCCTCCTGAGCTCTTCCAGCTGCTGCTGGAATGATTCCCTGCCCCTTGGATAGTGGAACCAGAGAGAATGAAGCCTGCAGGAAGCAATTAAAATAAACTTGGTCATCACTTGCTCTTGCAGAAGGTATTTGCAACAACAGTAGTACAATCACTCGTGTGGTACTAGCTGAAATCTTATTAGGATGTGATAGCAAAATATAGTATTTGGCTCTTCAAACTGGCTACCTTTATTTTCTCTTGAGCTAAGAAAAAAAAATGGACATTGGGATTTTATATACAAAGACATCCAATGGCCTCTTTTGTGATATATGCCTCTAGTTAGCAAAATAGCCGTGTTCTCTGAGAAGGATTAACAACACTACAGAGAAAGATCTCAGCCCTGGAGCCTTTGAAGTAATACAGGAGGTCTCAGGTGGGCAGCCATACCCAATGCATCTCTACTCAGAAGTTAAGCCCCAGTAAATTCACTGAAACTTACAGCCAGCTAAATGTGCGCATGACAGCATCTGTAACCCTGTGGTCTCTTATATGTGATACACTTTTTTGTTGTAATGACTTGAATGTGCTTAATAGTGTGTAATTGCTAGTTTCCTATTTCTAAATGCATTGAGTTTTAGATTTACTTCCAGTTGCGGTGTTTTAGTCTATATCATTCTCATTTTTCTAACCTAGTAAGATTTGCATGCATGCATGTATCTTTAATTTTGATGACGATATCAGTCAGTCAAAGAACAGCAGCCCAGAGGAAGCGTGAGGCTGAACTCAGTGGTTGCCCCACTGCTGCAAGTGAAGCCCTGCTGCTCTTCTGCTGGCCAGCTGGGGTGGGATGTTGGTGCGTGATTTCCACTCTGCCAGCTCCATATGGTGCCCCAGAGATGCCTGGATCCGATGCTGAAATGTGTGGCTAGAGGGGGGGGGAAGCGCCACATGTTTGTACTCTATGCGCTATCAATAGTTGTGTTACCTGCCCCTCTCCAGGCTGGAAGTAACAACCTGCAAGATGTGATTACTGCACTGGAGGCATATTTTAAATGACCTTTAAAATAAAAGAATTAAAAAAGACCAAATAAGGAAGCTGCTGGGACAAGAGAGTAGTTTTGATATTAAACTAGGTCTTTGGGGATAAAAAAAAGTTACTTGTGGCTTTGTGTGTGTTATTTATCTTCTTTCCCAGCTGAAAGAGAATAATAATAATAATAATAATTTTGAAGACATTTGAAAATAGTGTCCCAGTTACAAAAACATTGCACTGCCATAAATCATAAGGCATTTCTAAATATATATGATATAGACATGCATCACACACTGTCACTGATTTTGAGTGACATGAAACATAAAAATAGTATAACTTTTTTGCTTTCGGGGTAAGTTAGAGAAAATGTTCTATTTTAGAAAATAGGTTTTTCTCTCTCTTCACAATAGAAGTTTCTTTGGTGTAGGTGGCATTTTTTTTTTTTTTACTTTTCCACATTTTAAAATATTGACGTAATTTTTAAACTCCACCCCTGCAAATCATTCTAAATATTTTCCCCTTGCTGATATGCAGTATTCTTCCCTTAAGTCCCAGGTTCTTAAATGATGAAAGAATCAAGTAATATTCCTTTGGATGTGCTGAGGATTATAACAGCAAACTTTGGTCTTGTTTTTCCCCTGGGGTTTCCCCCCAACTTTTATATACATTATCTTTTATGCATTGAGGGAACGTGTTTCAGCTTTGAACCAGGGCTGAGGGACCTGTGGGCTCTCCAGAAGTTGTCAGCCCAAACGCCCATCATCCCCTGCTATTGGCTGTGCTGCCTGGAGGCAGCTGGTGCCTGTTGGAGTCCAACAACTTTTTGTATACCAAAGGACCATGCAGCCATTAGTAGTCCATCCAGCTCACTATTGACACACTGCCTGCAGCAGTTCTCCAGGGTGTCACACAAGGGACAATCCTAGCCCTACCTGGAGGCTCCTGGGCTTGAACCTGGGACCTTTTGAATGCAAAACAGATGCTCTATCTCCATCAAGTCACGTTTCAGTCAGGGTACCACAGGTTTCCCATTTCTGCCTTAAACTGGAATAAAAACAGATTAAAGGGTGGAATAAAAACAGCTAAAAAAATACACTTTGGCCACAGTCCCCCAAGGAGCTACTCAAGATCCTAACTATTCATTCAAGGAGGCTTCGTCAAGACAACTTTCTAGTAGATTGACTCCAGCAACAATAGGAGAACAGAATGCTGGGATTTCTTCACAAATCCTTTTTGCATCAGTGGAAACTGCTTTTCTCAGTTTGCCATGTGAAATGCTGGAAGTCCACCTGGTCCAGTGTGTGATTGTGGGCAGGAAGAGCACCAGTGCTCACAGAGAGCTCCATTTCCTTGCACAGAAGCATCCTCTACCATGGCGCAGGGCAGGAGGTGGCAGTGGCGCTTAAACACGTGTGGAGGGACACTGGTATTGCATTTTCTCTAATAGGCCTCATGAAGGAGCTCTGCGTTGCATGTTCCTAAAACAAGACTGCACATGAACTGGTGCAAATCCCACTATAACCTTATACAGTGGTACCTCGCAAGACGAATGCCTCGCAAGACAAGAAACTCGCTAGACGAAAGGGTTTTTTGTTTTTTGAGCTGCTTCGCAAGACGATTTTCCCTATGGGCTTGCTTCGCAAGACGGAAACGTCTTGCAAGTTTGTTTCCTTTTTCTTAAAACCGTTAATACAGTTGCGACTTGACTTCGAGGAGCAACTCATAGCACGCGGTGTGGTAGCCTTTTTTGAGGTTTTTAAAGACTTCGGTGATTTTTGAAGCTTTTCCAAAACTTTCCCGACACCATGCTTCGCAAGACGACAAAACTCGCAGAACGAATTAATTTCGTCTTGCGAGGCACCACTGTATTGGCTCAGATAAATGATTCCTAATGTGTGTATATTCATGTTTCAAGTATGCATTCATTAAAATGTGACCATTGCTTTTCTGTTTTAGGTGTCACCATTTGGGAGCTTATGACCTTTGGTGGAAAGCCCTATGATGGCATCCCAACAAGAGAAATCCCTGACTTGCTAGAGAAAGGGGAGCGCTTGCCACAACCTCCGATCTGCACCATTGATGTTTACATGGTGATGGTGAAATGTGAGTATTTCTCGTTGGGCTGTAGCTCTGTGCGGATGAGCTGTATTGAAGCGTTGGTCTGCCACAGCTTGCATTCATCAGTGTCGTGAGTCCTCTGTAATACGGCTTGCCGTTTTGAAGCATTATATTCAGGAGGCTACATCAATTATGTCTAAATATTACACACAAGCCTCACACTTGTGAAGGATGTGAGTCTGATGGAATACGCTTGCATTAGCTTGGATTCTTATTGCCAGCAGATAGTATCAGACATTATTGCTGTGAAGTCAAAATTGTAGCAGACAAATTGCTGTCATTTCCATAACAATTGATTTGTTAGATGATAGCATTTCACGTAATTACGGTACCCAGGTAGTCACCTATTAAGGGTTCTAAAGGGGTGAAAGTTGACTCTAAATGACATAGTGAATAAGAAATAAAATCCAGTGTGTTTTATTAAAAAAAACTTGGATTAATATGAAAAGACTGAGCTTTTGGGAGGAAGTGTTCCAGTGTGGAGAGGCACTGATATTTTAGTTGCTAAATGTGCATCTTTAAGGGCAGGGGGAGAAAGGAGTTAGGCAAGAATCCCGAGCAAATCATTATTATTTGTGCTATTTGCAACTGGATGCTCACCAACAGATCTCCCCCCTCTCCCAATGTGCACATGCTAGAAAATGTGACCCTGAAGCTCAAGCTTCTAATTTAAAAAGAATTAGGAAAGTCTCTGTGGTGTTTCTGACTTAATTTAAATGAGATTAACACACAGCCATTTCCTCCACGTGGGGTTTGGTGCTCGTGTGTACAGATGAAAACATTAAACTAAGAGTACGAAGAAGCTAATCCTGCTAACCGCTTGAGCTGACAGGCTGCTGCAGCAGCAGCACACAAGAGCTTTGTTGGGGAAGGCCAGGAATCATACCAAGTTCAGCATCACCAGAGAATCACAGGGAAGGAACTGTGCCATTGCTGGTGGATGCTCAGTCCCCAACTTGTTGAGTCATGACTTCCTTCCTTCTGCAACGGCATGCAAGGTAAACAAAATTAGCATTCCGAGGATGATGACCTCATAACAAGACTTTAGGACATGAGGCAAAACCATTGTTGAGGGCACGTAAACCAGAAGCCAACCTGAAGTCCTTCCTATATATGCGTAGCTACATCACAATCATTCTCAACCACCAGAAGTCTAGCTGTAGCAGTTAAGGTTGGAGAAATATTTACGCATAATCACTTACTGTGTTGTTGTTTTCTATAGAAGCCTGGTTGGTTTTAAGGACTCCAAGGTCCTCCTCACAGAATTCATGCTTGAAAAGTGCATTATCTGGTTTGGTTGGGAAGTTTTGCTCCTTTGTATTTTAATTGGCTGGTTTAGGATGTACGTATATGTGGTCCCCTCAGAAAGAGATTACACATGTTCTGAATTGCATCACACTTTTGAAGTCTCAGTCACAGGTGTCAGAACGGTGGTTTCCTCCCCTTTGAGGCTTGACATACAGGCCTGGTTGTCATGGAAGCAATTAATAACTTTTTTTTCTTTGCGCTGCACCAGTTCAGACTGCAGGTGGAGATCCACATGCATGCTCCTCCCTGCAATATACTTCCCTTCTCATAGAATACTTTCCCTTGCTTTTCTGGTGTTCTTTGGTCAGGGAATTACCATATTTCGTATGGAGGAGCGTTCATGCAAGAGTCCTCACTTGCAATTTGAAGTGGAACAAGGCAGGCTCAAGTTAACCACCTCAGGGGGATACAGACCAGAACCTCAGACCTGTAGTTGTGCAGGCTGGTTCGCATGTGTGTCTGCACATTTCCTCTATGTGTAGTGAGATGCTTGTTACATGTGGTGAATAGTTTATGACCCCAGAGCCATGTGTATATATCCTGCTCATGAGATCCACTCACCCCTCTATTGAGGGAGATGAAATGCAGGGCAGGATCAGTGCATATACAGGCAAGCACATACCAGCTCTGCAGTTTGCCTTATGCCTTAACGTGGGGGAAGGGTGCAAGCACACTAGAATCTCACACTAGGGCCATATGTGAGCCAGCTCATGATCTCTGGATGTGATTCCACACTGGAAACCATTTGGCAAGATGCTCAAAGCTAATGTGGTGTTGTACTAGTCTCATCCTGAGTTGTAGGTACAACTTCATCACTAGCAGTCAGGTGTCACTCACAGGTTCTAGGTATTTAAATGGGGAAGAGTGGAGGTTTCAACAGATAAGACCCACTTTATTTAGACTTCCTGCCAAATGATGACAGATTCCTCAAAAATTGCTGATGCTATCTTGGGTGGAAGAGGGTTGCTCTGAGATAAACTAGTGGCTGTTGCGGAGCAGAATATACTTATTAGTGATACTTTGTGCCCTCGGTCATGCAGCAGAGGAGAGCCAGCTATTTTCAGAGAGCCTTCCTCTGAACCAGCAAGAAGAAAGATAAGAGGAAATAAAATGCCATACTATGAAAAATCAAACATGTCTAGGTAGCAGCAGCCATAGTAATCAAGCACAGATGTACTTCTGCAATGTAATCAACACTAACAAATGATGCCGGGGGGGGGGACAATAAAAAAACTTGACAGGGATATCCAAGAGCTGTCATATTTAATAGCCATCCCATTTTATGCTTCTGGAAAGCTTGGTTTCCTCTCTACTGTATTTTTTTGAGATAAAGAATTCTCCATAGCATAATGGGGATCATAATAAATGGAACATGAGATGTAGATAGGATTAGAAACAATTGGGACCTACCCAGCCATTAGCAAACCAGTGTAGCTGCAAGTGGGGTTCAGAAGCTGTGTGATGTGTTGGTTTTTCATAGTACTAGGACACCTGTAATGAGTGACAGTAGCCCCTACAGTTTACCCCACACAATCTGCATTATACTGTGCCATAAAGATGAGGCAGAGATGAATAAAATGCAGCATAGAACAGAATGGGCAGATAACTCAAGCAACTGAGTGAAACCTCAGACTCCAGGGGAAGATTTGATTGTGTGTCAAGTATAGAGAAAATCAAAAATGAAAATAACAACACAAGGAAGTGTCTCAGAAAGAAAAGGGATAGTTAAGATATGCACCATGTCATCTTGGAAGTGAGTATAATAGGACTCATTTCCTAGACTCCATTTCAAGCCTAGGTTTCGCACTGGAACTGCCTTTGTCACCCAGATCGATGGCCTTTCTCAAGAAAGAGAGAGGGAAAGTGTTAATTCCCCCTTAACCTCCCAGTGACTTTTGATGCTATTGACCATGGTACCTCATAGTCTCCAACTTTTCCCAATCCAAATCCAGGACACCATGCCACCGCAACTCCACCATGCCACCTTGGCCTGCCGCTGCCACCGTCCACCCCCCCCACCTGCAAGCACACCTATGCTGCCTTGGCCTACCTGCCGCCTTACCTTCGTCAGCTCACTGCCACTTGTGATGAGGCCAAGCCCTCCTGTGCCACAAGGCCTGCTGCGGCTGCTGATATACTTCCGGAAGTTTGTGCCGCACTTTGCATGACAGGCCTCAGTGGAGGCCTTGAGGCGGCAGCAGACGGGGAGTTGGGACATTCGGGATTTGAAACGGAAGCTGGGGTGACTTCTGTTAATCTGGGATGTCCTGCTCTGCTTTGGGAGGTACAATATGTACCTCCTTCGAACACCCAGAGTTCGAAGTTGAGAGTTGGAGGGCCCTGCTTTGCAATGGTTCTGCTCCTCCCTCTCAAGATGGTTTCAAAGAATGGGGATGGAAGTCAGAGCCAGTGTGGTGTAGTGGTTAAAGAGCGGTAGTCTCGTAATCTGGTGAACCGGGTTCGCGTCTCCGCTCCTCCACCTGCAGCTGCTGGGTGACCTTGGGCCAGTCACACTTCTCTGAAGTCTCTCAGCCCCACTCACCTCACAGAGTGTTTGTTGTGGGGGAGGAAAGGAAAGGAGATCGTTAGCCGCTTTGAGACTCCTGAAGGGGAGTGAAAGGCGGGATATCAAATCCAAACTCTTCTTCTTCTTCTTCTTCTTCTTCTTCTTCTACTTGACCCTGCAGAAGCTGACCTGCAGAGTCCTGAGGGTTTGATCTTGTCTTCCATGGTATTTAATATTGATATAAAATTGGTGGTAATAGTCATCGGGGAATTTCGAGCGAGGTGTGATCATTATGCCAGTGTCAACCATTTCTCTCTCTCTGTTCCATCTGAATTATGAGAAGCAATGCAGATGCTAAACCACCATGTGGAAGTTGTAATAGACTGGAAGTGGGGCAATAATTGGAAACTGAATCCAGGCAAAGCTGTGGTGTTGTGTTTGTGGTTGGTTCTTGGGTCCAGGCTTTGGAGGGACACCCTGCTCTAATGGGGCTTTACTCCCCTTGAAGGAGCAGTTGTGTACTCTTGAAGCCATCATTATCATTTGAATAACAGGTGGAATCATTGTCTAGAAGTGCCTGTCCAAGCTCCAGATGGCTTGCCTACTCCGGCCTTTCTTGGGCAGAGATATAACCTGGCCACAGTTATCCATGCTCTGGTAACTTCCAGACTGAACTATTGTAAGCATTCTGTGTGTGGCTGCCATTGAAAACAATTGAGCGATTGCAACTGGTGCAAAATACAGTGGCCAAGATCCTTTGGGGCACTGCCACAGTCACATATAATACCTATTTTGAAAGGACTGTGCTGGTTGCCAATCACCTTCAGGATACTTATGGTGACATATAAAGCCCTAAATGACTTGAAGTCCAAATATCTGAAGGAATGTCTCCTGCCATTGCATTAAGATGTGCAGAGGAGGCCCTACTTCGTATCCTTTTGCCAAGTAATGTCTGTATTGTCTGGGTGCATGGGATGTCCTTCTCTGCTCTGTCACCAAGCTTATGGAATGAAACGCACCCCATCCATGATGTGTGTCATGCTCCAATGTTATTGACCGGTAAAGACAGATCTTTGTCCAGTGAAGCAAAGTGCATTGTGGATTGAGTGTGTGTTTTACTAAATTATTACCATGTGAATCTTATCTGTGATTAACATGTTTAGCTGGTCAATATTATTTTATCTATTTTTGAACACGGTTCATTTTTATTATTTTACTGTAAATGTAAAGGGCAGGTTATAAGTACCATATGTAAAGAGTAAATATGCTTAAGATTTCTGCTCTTAATAAGCTTAAACCATGATAGGGAACAAATATTTAGGAAATGAAAATGTAAGGTGTACTGAGTACAGTAAAGAATAAAAAGCCATAATATAGCCCATAATATAGCCAACTTCAGCTGGGTGGTGCCTTGAGTTTATACCTCCTCTTAAGGACTGAACTGTTTATGAAAAGCCATACATTGCTTGTTATTAACAAGAAGCATTTTTCCTCTCATTGTATCTGGCCTTAGGTTGGATGATTGATGCTGACAGTCGGCCTAAGTTCAAGGAATTGGCTGCTGAGTTTTCTAGAATGGCTCGAGATCCTCAGAGATACCTGGTGATCCAGGTGAGCAGCTCTGCAGTAGACCTTCTCTCTGAATGGGCTTTCCTAAGATCATTTTAAAGGTTACACAGGGACGAACTCTTTTTTTTGCTATCAAGTAAACATTCACAAGTGTACCACTACTATTCCTGGTTTCTGACTAACATTCCTATATAATGCATGCGTTTTCCAACAGAGTTATGTCACAAATTTTGGAGAGTTGTGTAATCGCGTAATCTTGGTATTTTAAATTTTTAAATCTGCTAAGGATGTGCAAAGTTGTCCTTAGTAATTTTGGTAGTCAAATTAGGGATGGGCGAATCAGTCTATTTCCTGCCCATGTCATTTTCTGCTATAATATGCATTAATCCATTTTTTTAAATGCACCAATATCAAATTGCATATTTTCTCATATATATATGTGTGTAGAGAGAGAGAGAGTTTTCAAAAATCAAAATGCACATTAGGTAGTATGAAAACTTGTTAGATAACTAAATCCCAATCTGATAATTAATCTGGGAGGTGAAGACTAGGTCGATTCATATCAGAATTCACAAATACTGAAGTTCTCAGACATCCCTAAATCTAATGAAAAACTCCTGTTGAGTTTCACTGAAATTCCTCAGGCAAAATCCAGTGGGTAGCCTATGGGTGTACAAAAGTAGGGATGGACAAATTGGTTTAAATTTTGCATGTGACTGATACAAAGACCATTCTGTCCTATTTGTCCTTGCATGTATGTATTCTTTTTGAATCGTCACCACCATTATCTGAACCACCATTTACAACGTGGTCCAATGGATGCCTTTCAAAATATTATTTATTCTTTACAGGGTCCAGCCACTTGTGACTAGCTAACTAAAAAGCACAGCAGCTGCTGTGCAGATTGAAATAGAACTAGAAATGGCCCTTTCTATCACCATCACATGGTGATGGGGACATTGAGTGAGTGGAGTGGGGGCACACATGGCTGCCCCCATTGCTAGCTCACACAGAGGTGCTGCATCTTCCATCTGGATTTCCATCCAAGAAGAAATCACAATAATTTCAAAGGGCAATGTTCTATGGTGTCTTTCTGCAGAAGGAAGAAACCCTTCAGAGGAACAGGAAGGAGGGCAGCTTTCAGCATTGTGTCTCTCCCCTCCAGACCCTCAGTGCTCCCCTTGCAAATCTGCTTCAGAGGGTCCCCAAGATATTTTGCCTCTAAAGAAATCCCAGAGTCTCTCTGAAATTCATTTTAAGGGAGAGTCTGAATGCAACTAGTTTCACACGCCTGCACTTAAGATACTCACTGGAGTAGTGTGCGGTCCTTTGCTTGCACATGGAGAGATCACCATACGGCTCAACAGAGCCCTGTTTCACTGCAACAGCCCATTCCAGAGAATGACAACTCTTGTCAAGTAACTTGACAGACCAGTGGCAGAGGAGCAAGATGGATGTGGAAACGGCCTCCAGTGCCCTGGACTCCCATGGAATGTGACAGGGGCGGAGGAAGAAAGAGGACTCCAGTTCTAGATGGACTGGGAAATCTGTGGTCTGTTTTGTCATGCATGATTTTGTTGAGATTCCTGTATTGCAGGGGGTTGGACTAGATGACCCCCAGGGTCCCTTCCAGCTCTACAATTCTCTGATTCTGTGTTGCTGGACCACAACTCCCATCATCCTTGACCATTGGCCATGCTGCCTGGGGCTGATGGGAGTTGGCGTCCAGCAACCTCTGGCCTGCCACAGGTTTTCCATTCCTGGCTTATAGGGATCTCTGCCTGTACTGGCTCTCCTCCCTTCCCCTCATTCAGCTAAAGAGCTGTATATAGTGAGAAAATATTTTCCCCATCACCATTTGTGTGATTATGCTATTACAAGGCAGAACAACAAGTATAAAATGACATTTCAGTTAAATTATTTATTTTACTTCAAACCCAAACTCTTTTTACATTTTCATTTAGCATCTGCTCTGTAAGTGATTTCTTTTTAAAAAAAGAATATATACCAAATTCTCTTATTAAGATGAATGGGAAAAAGGAGTGCTTTCCCCCTTTCTTAAAAACTGAATGCAGCTATTTAAAAAAATCAGCACCTTAATATTCAGTTTCCATGCTCAAGAGAGCCTTTTTAAGTCCTGTAGTAATTACTCAGATAGAGATAAAATGGATTGATTCTTTTTTGCTCATCTGGGGGCTTCTTTGGCCAGTGTTTGCACAAAGTGGCTTGAACTGAGGCACTGAGAAAAAGAGTTAAAATGTTGTTCAAGTAGGCAATATTTCTTGACACGTCAGGTGTTGCCTCAAGTGACATTGCCTGCCGTGTTTCCCAGAGTGTCAGGCTTCTGTTCCTGCAAGGGCCAGTGTTGAGAAGGAAGTCTGGGACCTAGCTGGCGGAGCACTGCAACCAGGAGCAGACGAGTGTGACAACCTCAACACCCGCCCCCCGCAGCCCCTGATCCCCTGATCCTTTCACCTGGAGATGGCAGCAATAGAGCATCAGGCCTGCTTGCAGTGAGCTATGGATTTGTGCAAGCGGCTAAGCACCGTCTGCATCTAGAGAGACTTAATTAGTGTACCTAAAGGAATACCTCTTCCCATATCAACCCTGGGTTAAGACCCTGGGTTAAGATCTCCTCTATCAGCCAATATGCTACATAACAGCAAAGGTGAGGGCTATCCCATCATCAGCACCTCAACCCCAGGAAAAGAGGTTCCACCCAGGCATTTTAAATTCTTCTGAATTTCAGTTTTGTTTTTAAGGATTTTAGTTGTTACTAGTAGTAGTATGTGTGTACACAAAACTGAAAAGGGGTGATAGATAAATGTTTTAATTAAATAAAATATAGGGATAATAATACTAACTTACCTTAGAGGGCTGTTGATGATTTTTAGTGCTAAACAAAATTGCTAAAGAAATGATTGTGATGGTGGTGATTATAACAGAATAAGGATATTATGAAAATGATTTCTGTCTATCTCTGTCTACAATCATTTTAACTTCAGTAACACAAACATTTCACAAAAATAGTCAAACTTGTCAAAAGCAGATGGGCTGGGTCATCCTTCACCCCCAAATAGCACCATTATAGGAATGTAGAAATAATAATAATAATAATAATAATGGGGCTTTTGTTTGACTGATAACAGTTATTACACTTCTGTCATCATATTCCCAAGTTTTGACCAAGAATAATTTCCTTCTTTATTTAGTTTTAAAGAGCCGTTCAGAAAATGTGTAAAGGACAATAGAATTTGATTGGAGAAAATATGAGAGCATAATGCACTTGTATAATAATGGAGGGCAACAAGAATAACTAGACAGATAAGAGTCTATAGCTATAACAGAAAGATTATTGGTAAGGCGAAATAACCAAAGGATTATTCCCCCCCCCTTATTCTCCATCAATGTACCTTATCTAGGGTGACGATCGCATGAAACTCCCAAGCCCAAATGACAGCAAGTTTTTCCAGAATCTTCTGGATGAGGGAGACCTGGAAGACATGATGGATGCTGAAGAATACCTAGTTCCTCAGGCATTTAACATTCCTCCACCCATCTATACATCCAGGGCAAGAATGGACTCCAACAGGGTAAGAGCAAACAATGATGTTAAACCAGAATCAAATGCACACAAAGCCAACTGGCAAAGTCATCCGCAGACTCAGTTTAAATATCACGTTCAATGAAGCCCACATTTCCCTAGGAAATGGAAGCACAAAGGGAACTCATTATTAATACTACTATTATTTATTTGTCTTGTTAGAAGCTTACTTCAAAAAGTCTCTAAGCGACTTTTCCTTCTTTTCCTTCTCTAAGTCTTTTCCTGCTTGGCAGGGGGTTGGACTCGATGGCCCTTGTGGTCTCTTCCAACTCTATGATTCTATGACTTGCAGGAAGGTTCAGAGCAAGAAAGGCGCAACATACAAAGCAACACATTTCAATAAAGTGGTTCCAACAACCCATAAACAGCTTACTCCTGAGTAGGTGGGTGTATGGCTGCAGCCTCAGGAAGACACTTCATAGCTGTTTCACAGAAGCGTGGAGAGATGGCCGATGAACATGGCTCACATTGACACATACATTCAGCTAAGATCGATACACTGACTTAAGACCTGGATGTGCCAGTAACATGTCATCCTGCCTGTCTGCAAGGACACTAAACGCAGTGTGGTGTGGTGTAGTGGTTAAGAGCGGTAGTCACGTAACTGGGTAACCGGGTTCGCGTCTCCGCTCCTCCACATGCAGCTGCTGGGTGACCTTGGGCCAGTCACACTTCTCTGAAGTCTCTCAGCCCCACTCACCTCACAGAGTGTTTATTGTGGGGGAGGAAGGGAAAGGAGATTGTTAGCCGCTTTGAGACTCCTGAAGGGGAGTGAAAGGCGGGATATCAAATCCAAACTCTTCAAATCCATTCATGAGTTCAACTAGCTCTCTCCATATAAGCATTTGTATCTATTTTAACCAGGTGTATATTTTCCTTGATGCAAAGGGTCAAATTCAACATAGCACTAAATTTTTATTATTTTTATTTATTTAAATGAAAACCAATATAAAATGAAAACAAAACCACAAAATACTGGTATAAATACAAAGCCGTTTGACACACCTCACCCACTAAAAGTAGCCAAGGGTCTAAGTGGCCTGGGATGGTGCCCAGCATGCCTCCCTGGGGAGAGCATTCCACCAGCGGAGAGCCACCACTGAAAAGGCCCAGCCTCCAGACCTCCCTTGGAGTGGGCAGATGATGATCACAAGGTCCAGGCTGGTTCAAATGGGGACAGGAGGTATTGAGGTCCAGAGCCACCTAGAACTTTATAGGTCAAAGCCAGCACTTCGAATCGGTCTTGGAAACTAATTGGTAGCCAGGGCACTCATGCCAGAATTGCTTTTATATATCCTGACTGTCTTGTACTGGTTGGGAATCTGTGCATCAAATTCTTCCCCAACTGTAGTTAGTTTCTGAACTATATTCAAAGGCAGCCCTATGTATAACATGTTGCTTAGATGTTACCAGGGCTACTGAACAAAATTATTTAGCTGAAAACAATCCAAAGTAATAATTTGCACAAATGTATTGTGAGCAAGCCACTGAAAGGTAAGTATGCTTTAATCATGATGGTTTAAGTGTCATTAACTTCATGTTTAACTGGGAGTACAACAGAGCAGCTTCTCCACTGATGCAGGAGGTCCCACTGCCAGCACTTTCCCAATACACTCAAGGAAGGCAGCAGTGGTGGGCATGCTGCACTCCTTGTTAGGTGGGCTCAGAGAGTTTATTGGGCAGTGGTTTTCAAACTGGTCTTGATATGTTCCTGGAAGCGTGTCTGTAGAGCGTGCATGGTTGCCTCAGGGGGGGGGGCTCCATTGCTGGTTTCCCTAACTGAAATACAGTTGGCTGTGGACTGAGAAAGAAGCTCTTTCGGCAATGCAGTTTAGGACCATTTGGAAGATGAAGAGGAGTAAAGAGGCAGTTTTGAGCAGTTGTATGGAGGAGAGCTGAATAGGATCCTTCTATGGAGCCCTGTTTGCATGTGGGGGCTGGAAGGCAGGTGCTGTCTCACCTGAAGCTCCTTCAAAACCAGAGGGGACGATTAGCAGAAAGAAAAATGGGCTGGCCCTACACCCCTTGGGGTCAGACCTTGTGTACTTTTGGCTCCGTGTCTCTTCACCACTAATACTATAGGATTACTATTATATATTTATTTATACCCCACCTTTTTACCTTGATGGGACTAAAGTCAGCTTAAAGATAAAAAAAAGAACTGCTAAAAGCATAGGAAAAAAAGCAAACAATTAAGCATTGATAGAATTTAAACTATATACATATACAAAATCCGTTTAAAACATACAAATACCGGTAATTACAATAAAAACAGCACGGCCTCTTCATTGAAAGCAGTCCGTTCTCAAAAGCCTGTTGGAACAAGGAAATCGGAAGGACAACAAGAAGGAGGGAGCCAGTCTAGCTTCTCTAGGGAGGGAGTGCCAAAGTTTGGGCATAGCCACCGAGAAGGCCCTCTCCCTCCCCAACCTGCCATGAGGTCCTCAGAAGGAAAAAGTTGTCCACCTCTCAGCAAAAGGCCCCAAGTAGCAGGGCTCAGAAAGGGCCAGCCATAGAAAGCAGTACTGAGCTAGAAGGAGCCAATGGTCTGGCTTCCTGTGTTCATAGAAGTCTCTTTTAGAATAACATAGACTTTCAGAATTAAATAACTGGTGGTTGTAGGACGTATACACAAAACAAGTGAAATGCATTTAAAACTCAGTCCACATGTTTGCCCTGAAATTCTGTTTCCTTTTGGTAACTTGGATATACCCTTGTTTGCTCTAATGAACATTAACATTAAATGGGCCCATTATAATTGGCGCTATTATCATGAATGGTGAATAAATTGATGCAGCTTAAGCAGTTTATGTTCATTGTTACTGGAAAATTAAATTTTATGGCAATGTTTCTGTGCTCTTTAGTAAAGCAGGCATGGAAAGTTGACATCTAAAGGGTCTGGAACTCTTTCCTAGAGATTATTTTTTTTATCTAAAATAGGAATAAAAATGAATGTCTCATTAAACTATCCCATTAGTTGAATGGATTTTTTAAAAAAGAAAGAAAAAGAAGGAATTTCTTTGCCAATGCTGGCACCAGGATTTGGGGGGCTCTTAGGTCCTTCTCTCCCTGAGTCCCATTAGCCTGAATGAAGGACACATACAAACAGAGCATGATCTCATGACCCCTCTGGCCTTGTTCTGTCCTCCGTGCAAAGGCACTGCTGGGTCACTGGCCTTTTTGGCTGGTCTCTGAGCCACAACAAATTCCTGCCCCTTCCACTCTCTGGTGCCAGCCTTCTTCCTGCTCTTTGTACATGGAACAAATCCCACTTATTGGGTGTGAAGCAGAGAATAAAACTCTTAAGTTAGAGAGAAAGTGCTATGATGAGGTATTGTGGTCATGGTAGTCTTTCCTGTTGATTGTAATTTTGATGATTGTTTTGCATGCTTTGCATGCAGAAGGTCCCAGGTTCAAATCATGGGGTTACCAGTTATAAGAATCTCAGGTGGCAGGTGATGTGGGAAGCCTTTGCCAGGGACCCTGGAGCATTGCTGCCAGTCACTGTAGGCAGTCCGGGATAGATGGACAAATAGCCTGGTTTAAGGCAGCTTCCAATCTTCCTATTTTAAGTTGTAAAGCATTAGAGGGCAGTAGATGTGAAGGTCTGACAAGGGCTGCACTGTCTAAGTAACCTCTTACTTAGAGTCAGTTCTGTCAGGTTGCCTCTTGATAGCTGCTTTTCAGTTTAACTAGAGTTAGCAAACTGTAAGTCTAAAATTCTAATTTTTTTTTTTTAATGCTCTCACTCTTGAACTGGATAGAGCTACTCACAAGCCCACATAATCAACAAACCAGCCACTTCAAGGACAAATCAGCACTGACAAGAACGGGCTGACTAGAGCCTTTCTACCCGAAGGGCTTGGTTTTTTTTACTTGCAGGGTAATTTGCTTTAAAAAAAAAGTTAAAGCCTTCAAAAATGTGATCCTCCATCTTATCACCTTAGGATTCTAGTTGAAGGGCCATGGTTTAGGAGTAGAACATATGCCTTGTGTGTAAAGGATTCCATGCACTGTGATGTTGTTTCTAAAGTGTAAGGCGCTGCATATATTCATTTAAAATCCCAAGTTCAGTCCACGGCATCTCCAGGTAGTGCGAGGAAAGATCCCTGTCTCACAGCCTGGGGAGCCACAGCCAGACTGGTGTCAACTATCAGTGCTGGGCTAGACAGACCGATGGTCTGAGTTGTAGAAGGCAGCATCCTGGCTCCCCTCAAACTTTGACATCTACGAGGCCCAGGCAACCAGCATGAGAGCAGGAGGTTTATTACAGGCCCACTGCAATGACTACTTTGATAGCACACGCGGCGGAAATACATGTGTGAGCAGTATATAGTACAAGCCACAAACCAGCACAATGTTGTGGGTTTCCTTCCTGAAGAGAAAAATGGCACTGTCTGAATTGGTCTGAACAATCTGGTGTGAGAAGAGCTGGGGTGTGTGGGGGGGGCGTAAGTATAATACATAATCATATATAATCTATATAAAGGAGCCATATATATTTTTACTACAATGCTATGGAGGAAAATATATTTTTGCTAAAACCCAGGAAACTGCCTTCCTCATTATTCCCTGTTTTTCTTAAGGAATAATCAGTGATAGTATAGGAAACAAAGGCAGGGGCCCAGGGGTGAAAATAACATTTAGATTTAAAATGTTAATGATTATTTTCTCTCCAAATCTTTCATTCTTTTTTGTAAAGTAATATTACCAGTAGATTCCCCAAACTCTTCTAACACCTGAAAAATAGAAAATCTCATCAAGGCAACCATTCTTTCCTTTAAGAGGCCAGGAGTGCCCGTTTATGGGTTTCTTTAACCAACCCCCCCCCAACAACTGTCATAAAATTGGGGAGATTATAATCAACTTTCTATTCACATGTCTAGGCTGGCTTCTCGCAGCCCCCCCCCCCCCCCGCAGACCCATCTCTAAGAGCTCCCCTGTTCAGGCCAGTCAACATGCTGTAATGATTGCTGCGCTAAAGGCTTT